AGAAAAGCAAGTCTGGTGAAGGGAACAACCGGGGCAAAGGCTCCAGCAACGGAGGTGGCCGCAGCTGGCACGAAGCCTCCTGCCCAGAAAGAGAAGGCTGGGCCTGCCAAAGCTCCAGCCCAGGAAACACCTACCCCAAAGCATAAAAGTAATAACGTTTCTATTTGCCAAGCTGGGGGGAAAGCAAAAAAGCCATCTGAAAAAGCCCTAGAGGATATTTCACCCTTCTCTGCCTGATTTATTTCACTCAGTGTAATGTCTTCACGCTTCCTCTATACTGTAGCAGGCATCAAGCTTTCAGGTCTGCTATCAGCTGCATGTATGTATGTACCACAGTTTCTTTGTCCATTTGTCTGTCCATGGGCATTTAGTTCATTTTAACATTTTGGCTAGTGTGGCAGTGAACATTGATGTACAAAATCACGTTTTGAGTCTTTGCTTTTGAGTATATAGTTAGGAATTATATTGCTAGGTCCTATGAAAAGTTTAATTTTAGTGTGTTTAGAAATTGCCACAATTGTTTTCCACAAATCCACTGCCATTTAGTCCATTGTAATTCAGCAACCCGACCCTATTACAGAGTTTCTGAGACTGTAATTCTTTGTGTGAGCAGACAGCCTCATTTTTCTCCTGTGGTACGACTGTTGAGTTTGAAAGGCCGACCATTGAGTTCACCCATTGTGCCATGAGGGCTCCTTGGTATCTTACTTGGTATTCCCACTAGCCATGGATAAGAATTCCAAATTGTCCACATCCTTGTCAAGATTTATTATTTTTTCAGTTAGTTTGTTTGCTTTTAACCCTAGCCAACCCAGTGAGTGTGACTGGTGTCTTACTGTGGTCTTGATTTGCGTCTCTGATGGCTACTGGTGCTGAGCATCTGTCACGTGTTTGGTGGCCCGTTGAATGCCTTTCTGGTGAAATAGCCATTCAAGCTCAGACAGCATTTTCATTTTACATGTCTGACTGGGCTTGATCCTTAAAACAGCACTTTGACTATCCAAGTATCCAAATGTGTGTTATTCCCAGCCTATCTCTCAAAAAAGCAGGACGTAGAATTGTTCTCGGGCATATGCTCAAGGAAATTGAAAAGTGATGATTGTCAGGTTGTTAATTTGATTACGTTCCTTTTCTCTTTACGTTTTACAATCAAGTGTGTGAAAGAAAAACCATGGCTGATTCTAAACTCGTATTATGTGACTAGCAATAGAGTTGTGTGACTAAAAACTCGTGCTAATTATTGAAATATCAGAAAAGCAGTACTTCCAAAATTAGTTCTTCAGCCTGGCTGTTTTACAACATGCAATACACATTAGAGTTAGAGGGAATGATAGTGTAAATGGGCCAGGAGTTTTTTAGAGGTGTGTGGAAAAAATCTCCCACCTCCTGCCCCCCTTAATTCTTTTGGTATAGCGTTCTGTCATCACCACATATTTGAGATTTTTTTTAAAAGTCTTCGCTAAAAGATAATAAAATAAGTATTAAGAAAAAACTAATTGACATAAAAAGGTTCTAAATACTCTATATCCTAGCACCATTTAATTTTATTAAAAGAACATTTTATTGGGGGCTCGTACAGTTCTTATAGCAATCCATACATCAGTTGTATCAGGCATACTTGTACATATGTTGCCATCATTATTTTCTAGACACTTACTTTCTATTGAGCTCTTGGTATCAGCTTCTCCCCCCCACCATCGTGACCCCTTGATAAATTATTATTTTCATATCTTACATTGACCGCTGTCTCCCTTTCCCCATGGATTCTGTTGTTTGTCCCCTGGTGTGTGTGTGTGTGTGTGTGTGTGTGTGTGTGTGTGTGTGGTTATGTGTCGATTATTACGATTGGTTTCCCCTTCCTCCCCTCCTCTCCCACCTTCCCCCAACCCTTTTGGTATCATTATTCCCATTCCTGTTTCTGGGTTGCATGTGTCGTGAGCCCTTATCTCCTAGCTGTGTACCTGCTAGCACCATTTGAATAACTGATCCTCTGAAGTGTTTATATGTTTTGTTTCACAACCTTTACAGATGCCATTAAATTATTTTCTAATTGCATCACGAGACTAACAGAATTCCTCTTTCATTTCACTTTTTTTTTTTCACTTCTTAGTACAGGTAAAAAAACTTTGTCACATTTCTATTTTATAAATTATATTTTAGTAATCCAGAGAATCCTCAGCCCTTGTTTTCACTAATTGGAAACTAATGTTTCTGTCAACTTTTCGGACGATTCCTCTATTGCTTTTGCTCTTGGTGCAGTGTCACCCAGCCCCCAATGCAGGTATTAGGTTTCCTCACCTATGAGCTTAGGGACCTTAATGTAGATACCACCCAGCTGTGACGTATGTAACGACTGAATATGCATGTCTTTTTTTTTTTAACCTGAGGACATATTTTATTAACTGTGTTCTTCCAAATAAGTTGACTTTGTTTATTAAATAAATTATACCGTCATGAACTTTGCTTTTAAAAAAAATAATTTTATTGGGGGCTCATACAGCTCTTATTACACTCCATACATATATCCATTGTGTCAAGTACATTTATACATATGTTGCCATCATTTTCAAAACATTTCTTTCAACTTGAGTCCTTGTAATCAGCTCCTCATTTTTTTCCAACCCTCCCTCAAGCTCCCTCCTTCATGAACCCTTGATAATTTATAAATTATTATTTTATTTCTTACACTGACCATTATCTGCCTTCACCCACTTTTCTCATGTCTGTCCCCCTGGGAGGGGATTATATTTAGATCATTGTGATCGTTTTCCCCTTATTCCCCCACCTTCCCCTTCCCCTCCTGGTATCGCTACTCTCATTATTGGTCCTGAGAGGTTTATCTGTCCTGAATTCCCTGTGTTTCCAGCTCTGATCTATACCAGTGTACATGATCTGGTTTAGCTGGATTTTTAAGGTAGAATTGAGGTCATGATAATGGGAGCGGAGTAAGCATTAAAGAAGTAGAGGAAAGTTGTGTGTTTCATCGGTGCTATACTGTACCCTGACTGATTTGTCTATTCCGTGTGACCCTTCTGTAAGGGGATGTCCAGTTGTCTACAGATGGGCTTTAGGTCTCTACTCCGCACTCCCCCTCATTAACAATGATAAGATTTTTTGTTCTCTGATGCTTGATACCCGATCATATTGACACCTCATGATCACACAGGCTGGTGTGTTTCTTCCATGTGAGCTTTGTTGCTTCTGACCTAGATGGCCGCTTGTTTACTAGCCAGACACCATCAGCTTTCTTCACCACATTTGCTTATTGCACCCATTTTGTCTTCATCGATTGTGTCAGGAAGGTGAGCATCATAACCAGGTTATTAGAACAAAGTGTTCTTGCATTGAGGGAGTACTTGAGTAGAGGCCCAATGTCCATCTGCTACCTTAATACTTACCATATAAATATATGTACATAGATCTATTTCCCTATTATTATATATAAATATATTTACATATGTACATGCCTGTATTTAGACCTCCATAAATGTCCTTGGCCTCCTAGTTCTTTCCTCTATTTCCTTTTACTTTGCTCTTGTCCCACTATCATGTTCGGCCTTCATTCGGCTTTTAGTAATTCATCTCGACTACATTACCCCTGAACAAGCCCCATCAGACATCCTGTATCCTCCTCGCCATGGATTTTAGATCACTTATTGTTCCCTTGTGCCTGGGCTGGTTGACACCTCCCTTCTTTTCCTCCACCTGCCTCTCTCCCTTGTCCCCCCAAGAACTATCCGTTGTTTTCTCCTCTGGATTGTTTATCCCGCCTATCTTATCTAGATAGACATGCAGAGACAATAATCACAAAAGTAAGAGAGAGCAAAACAAAGCAACAAAAGAAAACCAAACAATAACCCCCCCAAAAAATAGAAAAAAAGTTCATGTCTTAAGGCTACCTAGAAATGTCCCAAGATAGTAAAGATTCTCTCACTTCTCCGAGTTCCAATTGGTTCATCAAGAGGAGTTGAGGTGAGCATGTACCATAAACCGTCTGACTCCTTTATGTATTCTCTCTCCTATCTTTCTCATCCACTATGATTTTAGTATAAACTTTATGTATTTTAGCCGTACGTTTGCGCCTCTGGCTCTTTGAGTGTTGGAAGCTGGTTTCTGCTGACACTTTCAGGGAGCACACTAATGGCACACTTACTTCCAAGCTTAATAGCATATATATATTCAATTTTTGTGTGCTTTTCTTTCAAAGCTATTTCCTTGCATATTATTATTTGTTGCAGTGATATGACTATTTTCCATGTGTATATACGCCATGAATCAGATCAGAGCAAACACTCATGAACCGACCATATAGCTAGTGTGCCTTACATTTTAAGTTACTCGACACCGTTTTGTTTGCCTCTGCAACTTCTGTTGTGAAAAACTATTACTAAGTACATACTGTTTGTGTGCAAGGCACATTGCCAAAATTCTCAGACTGTTCTGTCCCTTAACTTTCTCAGCATCTCTTGGTGTGAGTTGAAGAAGAGTTGGCACCACAGGTGGCAATGAGTTAGAGATAGAGGACTAAGAACATTTGGAGCTCAGAGAGCTCTGAATTCTCATGAGTGAGCAGGTCACTGCTCATCCTCTCTCGGCCAGTGCAGCATTATTTTACCTCTCTTACCTACGGACAGCCCATGCACAGCAGAACGAAGCACGAGGTCATATTTAATTAGGTAAAGAAGCGTGTGTGTCATTTAATTAGGGAAACAAGTGGCTGTGTCTTTGGAAGGATTGAGCGGGCCCTTTTCACTCACACCTTCCACGTGTTTCTGTGCTGCGTTTGCTGCAACAGCACACGAACTCTTTGTTTGCCTTTAGCTTTTCCAAGTTTGTAAACTACTTCTTAACCTCAATGCTCAAAAATTGAAGCTTGTAAAAGTCTTACAGTATTTGGCCCAAGAGTCAGTAACATTCATTTGGTCAAGTAGCGACTGTGTGGAGTAGTATTGATCTTTCAAACCTCAATTAAAAATTCTCCATGTTCCATTCTCTCTTAGAATGGCACCAAACCCCCACTGGATGCAGAGGTAAAGTTGGAAGCAATTGCTAGTGATATCCGCTGTGATTGCTATACGTAAGTATTGAAATCTCAAGTGGGACATATATCACCCACTGACATTTTTAGCCTCTCAGAGTTCTTGAGAAATTGCTAGTATTATAAAGTTGTACTATAGCTTACTGTCTGAAGGGGACCTGTTGAACTCTGTGAATCTGAGGAACCAGGCCTCACCCCACCACTCTTGGCACTAGAAACCATGTGGGACGTGACATACATAACCCATGTGCTTGTATCAGACTCCCATTACATCAGAAAATGTTTTCACCCGTGATTTCAGCATGCCTTTCATCACAGAAAGAATAACGTACCAAAAAAAGAATACAAAGCTGAAACTAATCTGTCATGAAAAGATAACTTTGAGGTTCAGTTTCCTGTTCTATAAAATGAAGAATAGTGTCCACCTCACCAGTTTTGCAGAGGATTAAATGAAATTCACACAAAACACCCAATATAATACCTAGATCTTGTATGCTGCTGTTTTCTGCATGAAGGGAGTAGCCATTGGGAGGCTGCCTACGAGGTCTATCTTTTCTAGCAGAATATTAGGCAGACATTTTAGTGCTGACTGCCAAATCAACCAGGCACTGCAGCACTTCATCAGAAATAACCCACCGCGCTACATCTTCCAGGCCCCAAGATTGTCTTTTTCATAGCACACCTACTGATTTCCTTTAGTAAAAGCAAGAAATCGAACATTTCCGCCTTCGGGGCTTTTGTTGGTTTTTCTTGTCCTTTCTTGTTTTTTTTCATCTGTTTGCAAGTAAATTTGTTAACTTTCTCCCACATGGAGGAGGAGAATGAAAGGGAAGTTTAACCAACAGAGGCATCGCTCCCTCGGGCTTGTCTTCAAATCCATTTTCGAACTTTTTTTTTTTCTTTCAATGCCTCTCATCTCAATTTGAGAGAAGGTACTAGTGCAGTCTTCCGCTACCTGTTTACCTTAGTGTACATTGTCTCTGCCTACATTAGTGTATATTGTCTCTGTCTACATTAGTGTATATTGTCTCTG